AAACTGTTTTGGTCTTTGGGCCTTCCTTAAAATTGTCGAACATTTGAACAAACCAAACTCGATAGACCATAATGTCATTGGATTTGGAGACTCCAATGGTGGGAATTTAGAAGATTTAGGAGTACGAATTGGAGATAAAGAACGAGAAGATTTTGGAGTGGGTGGAGATAAAGTTTGAGGGGATTTTGGAGTGGGTGGAGATAAAGTTTGAGGGAATTTAGGAGTAGGTGGAGGCGATAAAGTTTGAGGAGAAGGAGGTTGTTGCGTAAATTTTCTAGGAGGAACAGCTTTAAGAGCAGTATTGTACCAATATAAATTATCTCGTGCATCTACTCGAAAAACCTCGCGACAATAGGAAGGAGTACATTCTGATTTATCGGTACAATTTGTTATATTGTAAATCAACTGAGTGTGTGAACAGTCTTTGTGATCGAAATCATAATTGTAGTCATATGAAGCTGAAGATGAGTTGTTGCCCGTAGTAAACATTTTTATAAGCTATAGGGATTTTTAATAATGATAAAGATCAGCACGATGTTCATCTTGATAAAACAAATAGGATCTAACTATTTATTTTCTTTGTACGAACCTTAAAAGTGGCAAGTTTTTTAGGAAAACCTGATGAATCAACTGGTGACTGCATATTTTCAATTAATTCAAATGAATGCTATGTTATGAATGTTATGTTATGAATGCTATGTTATGAATGCTAGGTAGAAAATGTGCAATATATACGAGATGTCAACAATACAGACAATTTATTTTAAAAGAACGACGAATATATTTAGTTAAAAATAATCAAGATTTACAGGCAAAACGACGGATTTTATAAAAACTTTATGTGCATATTTACGTACGTACGTACGTAGGTACATATGTATAATATATATGTACTGAGGTCACAAGGAAACTCTATTCAGAAATAAAGTGTGCACAACTCAATCGGAATGATAATTGCGATTTTATGTACGAATATGTGTGCGCACAAGGGCCGAAAATCCAAAAATGTTAATTAAACCGTTTATCGCATCGTTTATCTCATTGATGAGAATAAACTTTATTTTTCTATTCACATCACTTTTTCGTAAACAAAATTTATTCAACATTTATGGAAGGACTTATAGAAGGGCTTTTAATGATTATGATTGGTTCGTGACATGTAAGGTTGTAACTAAAAAGGAATCAATGTTTATAGTGTTCAATCTTCAAACACTAAAACTCCCTAAGCAAACTTTGCCTGTATAAAAATAGAATTTTAGCTCGTCGATCTTTACTTGTTATATACATATTGTGCTTGTCGGGTACAGTATCGTATGATTTTAACATAAAATAAACCTTTTGTTTTTTTCCTTGTTTAAGGTTCTTGAATATTGTTTTTTTTTAAAGAATTCGCTTATTCTTGATGTAAATTCTGATGTAAATTAAGTAATTCATTTTCTTGTTCCTATAATTGCTTGAAATAGTTTGGATGTTTAACAAATTAGATGATTAAATGAATTAAGATTGACAATATGCAATTATGAAAGCCTTCTGTTTAACAATGCCTTAAAGATAATTAATGTATATGTATTGTTAAATCTTATGCATGTACCAATTTTAGGAATGTTATATATGCACGTATGTGCATTTTATTAGGGTTTGTTGTTATTTACATACAAAGAGCATGTCAGATATGGTATGGGTAATTCCGGAGTAGACTCAATTTCTGAAATTCAAATTAATTCTATATCGATATATTATCGATATATTATAAGATCATTTTGAATTTAAGAAATTGTTTCGGAAGCTTTATAACGGCATACCCATATGATATTATTTAGACCATTGAATGTCGACTAATAGATTATTATGCATCAACCTAGATGCACATGTAATTTTAGTTATTCTCATAATACGAATTACTACGATAGATCAAAATAAAGACCTAAATTAGTGCTTGAGCTATCTAAGTGGTTTACTAAGTATTATCGAAAATTCTACAAATAAAAAATATTAATAAGGAACATCAGCCCGGTTATCTCCGTTGCCTGTTTAAATCTTAATATTTATAATTGGTTAAGGGTAATAATATAATGTATCGCAAAAAAAATATCTATATATATAATTATATTGTTCTTTAAATTTATTTTTAATAAGTTTTTAGAACTAGGAAGACAGGTGCTGTTGTAATGTTGTAAATCTGAAAAAAATTGACCAATCATTTATGAGATTGATAAAGTTTTGATAAACCGATACAAAAAAAAAAACAAAACCAAAAAACGGTTTTGGATAAAAGTTTGTTGACCGAAATGATAAACACATTCTGATCAATACTGTTAGATTGTAGAAATTTTTTTTTTTTGATCCATATAGAGAAAATAATGAGTCACACTATTACCGGCTATTATTAGGTTTGGGAACAGTTGAGGCTTTTTTTACGTTTATGGTAAAAAACAAGGAAACAAAAAACAAAATGGGTGTCAGTGAAACAGCAATAACACAACTTGAAAGTCTAATGCCAAGGTTTTAGTTTCACTGGAATATTGTTACAACTGGATAATAGTACGTGACATTTTGGGCAATAATATTTCCAAATGTATTCTTCCTATGGATTTGAAAAGGTATTTTAATAAAGATAATAAAGATGATAAAAAAAATATTCACTCTTCTGTTACAACTTTGAATTAACCATATTATCATTTGTGCTATTCATGTTATCAATTCATTCAATAAAGATTAATAGTGATAGTGTCACCAAAAAAAATTGTCAAATTCTATAGATGCAGACTTATTTACGTCACTAGTTATGGATGTAACTAACGTAACTAACGTAACTAGGTGATGATATAAGTCTGCATTTATATCAATTCACTGTATTAATAATATTTAATCATTAAAAATATACCTGTATATCGATATTAAAGAAGGAAAGGTTTATTCATATGGTTTAAATTGAGTCCAGATGACGGCCGATACTTTTTTTGTGACATTACTAAGCATTGTTAGTGAAAATGGAAATGTGGCGAATGCAAATATTCATCCCTTAGATGCATTTCACCCTAAGATTTATACTTTACTCAAATTTATGGTGTCTTTGTTAAACTTTTATGAAAGAACTCATTATATTTGGCTTCAATTTGTATAGTGTACTTGTTTCTTCTATGATAAAAACTTCGTTATGTATATTCCATAAATAAAAAATTTTTATGGTTAATGGTCTCAGTACAGCCAGCATAAACCAACATTCCTTTGTACAAGTGCCAAACTTTAAAATTACATAAATTTGATTTGAAAATATGTTACACAATCTTTTTTATAATTTTTAAATCCTTATCACATTACATTAAATATTAAATGAACTTAATATTACTTTATTACTTTTTTGTAAAATTGATTTACGTATACTATTATTGTTTGAAATATTTTATATCATAAAGTTATTTGCTTAAAATAAAAATCTTTATTATCTACTATTTTATATATTTTATTTTACTACTTTATTTGAATATACAGTCTACCCTGTATGCATGATAAACAAGAGATTGTAGACATTTTTATTATATGGTATAATAAATTACACGGATAACCGGGTAATTTAATTATACCCGGGTAGAAATTTCTTGATCAGTTTTGAAAGGTTATCAGATTTAATAAATTGATACGTTTTAATAACCTATTAGTTACATGATTGTGGTTCAATATGATTAGCTCAATACAGTCTAACCTCGATATAAAGAAGCTTCGGAGCTGGAGTGGTTAGGCTTCGATATTTATTCAAGATCAAGTATAAGTGGAGGTTCGATCTTCCAGATCGAACCTCATATTTATTTACTTTACACGTGCTTATATCATCACCTTTGCTATAGTAATTTGTATTAATACAACCTTATTACTAATCATAATTCTATAATTGATTGGAGATTGCTACGGGCACAACATTTCACGTGCTTATGTGCTTATGGGCACAACAATGACCGGCATTACTTAAATACTCTTACCTTAACTCAGGCCGATGTTGTGTCTATAAGTCACGTGAAATGTTGTGCCCGTAGTTTTCCGCTAATTGATTTGCCCTGTACGTTATACCCCGGATCATCAATCCACGTGCGCCCAATCATATCCCGTCAGTAACGTTCTTTCTTAATATTACAGTATTAATAATAAAGCTTTACTTTAT